CTGTCATCGACGGTGTTTGCTTCCCTCGGAATGTAGTTGAAGGTGACCTGGATTCCCCTGCAAAGTATAGATATATGGTCAAAGCTTGGGCTTGATTTGCGTCCCAAGAGATCATATTCCTCAAGTTCCCTTCCGCAATTAGGCTTTCTAAGTTGTTGAAGGTCCCTTATATGATAGCTATGGTCTCTGCCATGGTGGAATCAGTCTGGCTGATGAAACCTGAGAAAGAGAGGATTTCAGAGTAGTGGTTTGCAAAGCTGCCCCAAAATCCAAAGGACCTGGGATCCGAGGGAGCACCTCTTGACATTTAGCTTTACAGTTCCTTGGGAAGGAGGTACCCAAACGGCTCAAGCGGGTGAAGGCCTCGTGAGAGGTGCAAAATGTTTCCCAATATGAGAGGGAGATAGAGGAGCCTAGACTGCTACACAGCGGCAGTTTCTTAGACCAAAAACAAATGACGATTTTAATGGTAATCCAAAATGGAGTGCAAGGGCTGTCTGAGCGCTCAGAAGATGCGACAGTTTCTTTCATTCCAGACGACGCATAACAAAGCAACGGCTGAAGCCACCAAAGAATATGACCAGTTTTTGGTAGGGAAAGAGAAATGAAAGCCTCAAAAAAGCTGCTGAATGGTCTGTGGAGTTATCCAAAACAGAATGAAGACATGGAATAGGGACCATAGAGGAGGTGGCCCCGGAGTGGAAGAAGAGATGGTTAAGAGTTTCTTCGTCTTGCATGCACATGACACAATGGTTCGGCCAATGAAAGCCCCTCTTTTGAAGCTGGTCACCAGTTAGAACCCTACTGTGAGCCAACATCCAAGCGAAGGCCTAAACCCTAAAGGGAGTGGGAGCAAATCATATCCTTTTCAAGATAGGGTTTCAAGTTGGGCTAGGCAACAGGGCTGAGTCGAAGGAAGCTACCGTGAAGATTCCACTGGGTGCTGGGGCCTAAATCAGGCGGCCGTCACCTTCTAGGTAAGATAGAAACCATGTAGCAGCTCTAAAAGGACAGCAAGGTGTGCACCTTCAACTTCTTTGAATGCTCTCGTAAAGACAGGGGCCCAAACAAGATGATTGCCCTTGAAATCAGCAGAGCCTGATACCAGGGTATCCCTGTTAGCAGCTATGGAGAACATGGTGGGAAATCTGTCGACTAAATTCTGATTTCCCAACCACAGATCTTTCCAGAATTTGACCCTATCCCCATGACCCCCTTTGAACCTAACCCCTGAGATGAAGTGGGGTCTACTCTTTGCTCTACTGGCCCAGCCCCCAGAAGCACAGTGGCATGGAAATTTGGGGAGCCAGCCACCATCTTCTGTGCCACATTTACCAAAAAAGACTCCCTCCAAAGATGTGCATCATTTGCTACACATTTCCCCCACCACTCTACTAAGAGGGCTAAATTGAAATCTCGTTGAATTGATGCCTAGGGTCCCCGCTTTCTTGGGTCCACATACTTCATCCTAAGCAATGAGGTGGAATTTGTGTCCCTCAAACCTGACCAAAGGAAGTTTCGCATGATATCTCAAGTTTGGATGCCATAGGAACATGGATTTGAATAGGGACATGAAGTAGGTTGGGACATTTGCTATGGTAGGTTTTATGAGGCTGATTCTGCCCCACAGGGAAGTAAACCTTCCCTTCTAGTTAGCCAATTTCTGGTAAAATTTTCAATAATAGTGTGCCCCACAAGTGCTTCCTAGGTTTACCTAGACACAGGGGTAGGCCTAGGTTTTTTAATGGAAGGGATTCAAGGGCGCATACCAAGTGGTGGCCCAAGGACCACACCTCTTCCTCCTCCATTCTAATGCCCAACATACTGGTTTTGGACATGTTGACCTTCATCCCTGAGAACACCTCGAAGAATCTAAGGAATGGCTAGAGATTATCCAGCTGTGTTAGGCAGGAGTCACAGAAAATGATGGTGATGTCATCATACAGCAGGTGGGAAATGTTTGGGCCAGACGTGCCAAACCATGGAGGATCCCTAGTCGTAAAGTTTGGAAATGGATTTGGAGAAAACTTCTCCTACAATCGCAGACAAAAAAGGTGAGAGGGGTCACCTTGTTTAAAGCCTTTAGAAGACTAGAAATACTGTTCAGATGTCCCATTTATAATATTAGATATGCACCCTCTAATCCAATTTCTCCATTTGAGACCAAAGCCCATTTTAGCCTGAACCTCGTCTAGAATTGTCCCATCGACATGGTCGTAGCCTTTTTCCCAATACAATTTAATCACTAAACCTTGTTTACAGCTTTGTGGGCAATTAGGGTACCATCCAAGGTTTGTCTCATCCACAAAGGCTGATTATGAGCTAGAGATGGGGTGTCTATGTGTGTGTAGAGAAAGGAGAGAGAGAGAGAGAGAGAGAGAGAGAGAGAGAGAGATGATCTTGCCAAGGAGAGCCTTCAATCTAGTGGCAAGGATCTTAGTGAAGATCTTATAAGTGGAGTTAAGGAGGCTAATGGGCCTAAAGTCTTTGAATTTTATTGCTCCTTCAATTTTGGGGATCAGGTGAGGAAAGTCGAATTCAGGCCTCTGTGGATTCGACCTTTGGAAAAGAACTTATTGAAAAAGTCTACAACATCAGGAGATAATAGATCCCGGAAGGCTTTTGAATATGGTGAAGAGGAAACCATTGGGTACAGGAGCTCTGTCCTAGGTGAGGTGAGAGATTTTTTTACAACAAAAACAACATCATACAACCTATATGCACTAATCCTTAGAGCTTCAACTTCGAACTCATGTTTACCACATACACAATAAGTATCTATTGTGAATAAAAAAATGCTTCAACTTACCATCACCCTCCTAATATATCAAGGAACTGGCAACAATTATTTGAAACATTTTCTAAGAGGATCTCATCCTTCACAATCAGCAATTGGAAAGCATGGTCACGCAATAAGAAAATGAATGAAACCATGATCACATGAAGGTAATTCCTTCACACATAAATTCCAGTGTTCTAAAACACAACTCGGCCAAGGTACTTAGACCTTGGCCGAGCAGCAAGTCTGAGTAACTCGCTGGAGTTCAGTCCTATTTTTTTAAAAAAAAGAAGAAAAAAGACAAGAGACATAGTATAACCTGCCACTTTAGATGTTTATTGTCGAATGGCGTAGTGGCTAGGTCAGCTGCCTTTGGGCGCTTCCCTTACAAGGGCTTTTGGGTTTGATTCCCATGAAACTCTTTTTTAGCTCCTGTTTACTGTTTTTTTAACACTTCAAAAAAAAAAAGACATAATGAAGGCAACATTAAATCTAGGGGATTCGAACCCTAGCTGTGAGGTAAATTTGTGTAAGCAACATTCAGAAAGCCATCCGTGCTTCTTCTGGTTGAAATTGACACAGTAATTTATATATCGTATAAAATTTGGCATACACTTCACTCGGTAGAAACTCGCCTTGCCCTAAGGGCTCGGCCAACTGGCCTCGGCAATATCTCAAAACACTAATAAATTCTATATCGGGTCAACCTCTAACTCATATGAGGTTATGGTGTTTGGAAGTTACAAGTGGAAATGTTCCTTGTCTCGTTGCCTTGGTCTTCTGATGAAGAAAATTTGCCGAATAGAAAATCAGCAATGTCTCGAACCAACACAAGCGATCTCTTGAAGAAACCTGAAGGTTATCCTACACAAAACCCAAACTACAGATTCCAGAGCAAAGCTCTCTGCTTTCTTTGTTTTAAAATCACGCCAATCTCCTTACAACTCTCTTCCAATCCCTATTTATAACAATGACACCTGCCCTTTTAGAGTTTTCCACTTGAACTAAGTCATACCTCCTAGCAGATATTGTATTGGGTCTTATCGCCTATTGGTGCCACACCTAAATTTTTCCAAATATACTCATTTCGAATTCTATCCCTTCTTATCTTGCCACTCAACCATTTCAACATCCTCATCTCTGCTACACTCATTCTATGGGTATATTATTTTTTGACCGCCTAAAATTCCACCCCATAAAAAGCTAATCTCACAATTGTCCTATAGAACTTTCCTTTCAGCTTCATTGACATGAGACAATCACATAGAATTCTAGTTGCACATCTCCACTTTGCCCACCCAGCTGTAATTCTATGTGCGACATCTTCCTCAATCTCTCCATTTTCCTACCAAGATATCGAAAATTTGCTCTTTTTGGTATTTCATGGCCGTCAATATTAACTACTTCCTCATCTCTAATCATATTGTTACTAAAATTGCATTCCAGATATTCTGACTTAGTCCAGTTAATTTTAAAACATTTATATTCTAGAGCATCCCTCCAAAGTTCTAACTTTGTGTTGACACCTGTTCGCGTCTCATTAATCAAAACTATGTCATCACTGTGAAAACATAAAAACAAAATTAAAAAAACAAAACCTAATGCTAATTGCAATGTTGCTTGAACAACTGGTCCATCGGCTCTCCCCACCAGCATGCACTGAATGTCTGCGATGATCCTCAACATGAACCTCATCAAAAGGCCTAAAATACTAAAGAAATGCTATTTCAGCTTGTTTGAGCTTTTTGGGCAAACTTTAATGTGCCTTCGATGACAAAGTTCAAAGATTCAACCTTCGATCTCCCTCACCAAGACCAATATGTCTACAACTCAACTGAAGCTTAAGAGACAACCACATCAAAAGGACCTTGAAACATACATTTTTGCTTACCATCCCCAAGAATTAGAAAGAAGGCCAAATAATTAATGCCATGAAAAGCAAAGGTTTTGGGACTGCACTGCTTCCTGGTGGGTGTTCACCAACAAACTAAACAAAAGTTCCCAAAAACCTCCGTTGAATCAGAAAAATAAATATAAGCATCAAGGCATTTAGGAGAATCTCATTACATTCAAGCCGGGAATGGCAAAACGAAGGAAGAGCAAAATTTCACGAAATAGAATGTAATAATTACTATTTACAGCTTAATGGAGTGTAAAAATCAATAATTCATGACCACAACAAAAATGAATAAACAATCAAGAAAAAAATGTTACTGAATACCATTGAGCGGAGAGAAAATCAGGTACTCGATCATCTGAAGAGGCCCTGAGACATATTGGGCGCCTAGATAACAGAGGAGGAAAACAACACCCCAAAGCCATGGCTTGAAACCCTAGTTCTTCCAAAAAAAACAATTATTCAAAAAAAAAAACAAGGAACCAGAGAAAGAATCCCTAATTCTTCTTCTTCAAAAAAGAAAAAAAAACGGAATCAGAGACACATACCCTTGCCTGAACTCTGAAACATTGACGGAAAATGAAAGGGCCGGAGAGGACTTTGTAATCATCTGTCAAATATCTGACACGTGGAGAATCCGACTGGATGCCACGTTGGACCTCTGGGCTTCATAGGAAGGGCTTAACGGAATTGTTTTTGTAATGAACACTCTTTTTTAGATAAATATTTGCGAAAAATACTCTCCACAAAAAAAAAGTAGAACTCTTGTTTAGCTTTTTATTTTAGCATACATATATATATATAT